AGCAGCCCGATCACGGTCACCAGCAACAGCAACAGCAGCACGCCGAACAACCTGAACGTCTCGAAGCGACGCAGCATCGTCAATCTGAATCGCCCCGCTCGAAAGGACCTGACCTCTTATGCGACCAAAGAGGAGGAAATGACGTCCAGCGGCGGCGGCGGCGGCACTCCGGGCACCCCAAACGACCAACAGGGCGCCGATGAGGCGCCCACGCCGACGCTCTCCCGCGTCGAGTACAAGAACAACCTAAAGTCGCTGCACGAGATCATGAGCAAGTCCTTCGACCCGAAGCGCGCCTTCAACTACAACTTTATCAACATCATGAGCTCCTTCATCAACAACGACCAGGGCAGCATCGACTTCAAGCTGATCGCCCTCAGCCTAGACGCGGGCACCCGCGTCTGGACGAGCAAGGTGGACCTCGTCTACCGCAGNCAACATCATGAGCTCCTTCATCAACAACGACCAGGGCAGCATCGACTTCAAGCTGATCGCCCTCAGCCTAGACGCGGGCACCCGCGTCTGGACGAGCAAGGTGGACCTCGTCTACCGCAGCACCCAGAAGGTCTCCAACAGCCTGTCGATGGCCACCGGCGATGAGAAGGCCGGCGGCGGGGCGAACTTTGAAGACGAGGAGGGCCTCTTTGAAAACTCCTTTTTGCGCAACGAGAAGAAGAAGGCGGCGGCGAAGAAGCGGCGAAAGATGGCGCCGACCATCGTCGCCAACACCGACACCATCAACGGCAAGCTGGAGATGAACATCGCCGTTGACCCGCTCTTTCACCACTTCTCCGCCGCCTTTGACGTGGGCAACGTCAACTCGATGCTGATGACCAACCTGGCCAGTGACCCGTCGGGCGTCCTCCTCCTCGACTCCGCCGAGATGCTCAACTTTGATGATGCGTACAAGCAGGAGAAGCAGCCCTCGAAGACCACCACCGTCGACCTGTCCGACTTTCACATCACCCTCGGCGGAAGCCGTCAACGAGACCTGGAGAGCGAAGAGTACGGCGGTGGCATCACCGTCTGCCCGCCGATGGGCGACTTTGACATCACCAACTTCTCCTTCAACGACCGCGACGCCTCCATTGACCACCTGGTGAGCGGAAGTATGACCTCGCCAATGAAGAGCACCGCCTTCCCCGCCACCGGCGGCCCCTACGACGGCGGCCAGGGCCGCCCTAGCTTTGAGTTTGACATTGACGCGCCGGTGGACGACGTCGACGTCGGCGATGATGATGACTACGGCGGCGACCACGATGGAGGTGATGGAGGTGGTCACCACTCGGGCGATGAAGATGGCGGCGGCTGCGGTGCCCACGGCAAAGACCACCACCCCCAGGCCAACCAGCTGTACAACCAGCTGGACGCCTCCCTGCTGGAGGCCAGCATGATGGACATTCTGCCCGCCAACAAGAACGAGTTCTTCAACAAGAACTTCCTCCGGCAGGTCTTTCGCAAGGTGCCCTTCAAGCAGGGCGCCGGCCGGTCGCTGCTTGACGGGCCCGGCCTCGATGAGAAGACCGCTGATGGGTCGTCGGCCGCCGCTGAAGCCAAAAAGACCGCTCGACCGAAGCGAACGCGGCCCACCTTTGAGGAGAACACCTACGCCGCCTCGAAGGACGTCCTGGAGGAGCTCTTTAAGCCGCCCACGCAGGAGGTGAAGGACTCGGTCAGCGTTGCGCGGCCCACACTGAACCGCTGGTCGATCAACTCCGAGCGGAAGCACCTGAAAACCGACTACGGCTTTGAGACGCGCCACCTGAAGGCACTCTTCGCCAAGCCGGACACCTACTTCAATGACCTCCGGGAGCTCAAGGAGCAACTGGGAGGAGGAGGAGCCACCACTTCAGGCGCAGCGGGAGCGAGCGTCGACGACTACGGCGACGACGACCACGATTTTGGCGCTGGAGGCGGCGGCAGCGGCGGCGGCGGCTCTTCCGACTATGAAGGCGACGAAGTGGGCGGCGGTGGCGGCACCGGCGCCGAGGACTACATCTACGAGCGACCGCTGCCGGACTTTAACATCGACGACGACTACCGCAGCCAGGCGCAGTCGGGTGCCACCGGCGGTGAACCGAAGCTGAACGGCCACGTCGATCCGCTGGACATTGACTACTGCCGCGTGGCGAAGAAGGTCAACATGAAGCAGGTGAAGCGGGGCATGTGGAAGATTATCAAGAAGTCGACGACCACGGAGCTGGTAATTTATTACCAAAAATATTTCTTTGCATTCTTTTACTTACAGCGATTTCTCTTTCTCCCTCAGCTCTCCACCGACGACCCTTCCCAGCCGGCGTCCGAGGC